TAATTTGGTTGTATCAACTAAGTTGAAATTGTAAATTGGCCACCGTAAAAAGTTAAAAAGCTGACGTTTCGAGCGTTAGCCCTTCGTCGAAACTTCAGCTTTTTAACTCTTTACGGTGGCTAATTTACAATTTCAACTTAATTGATACAACCAAATTTCATCTTGACACACCAAACAAATAACGACTGGTCTCTTGACAAAGGTCAAGGTCGTCATGTTAAGGGACTTGTACTCCTTGGTTTTGACACAATTTTCGCTACAACTTTTTTAAACGTCGATGAAGAGCCTCTGATACTCAATTCAGGAACCCAGACATAACGCTATTTCTCCATATTTGTCAGTTCTCATAACCGAGTCGCCACTTAATCTAGGTAATCTCCAGTTTACGAGTCTGGCATTAAATTTAGCTCTTTGGGGTTTCTGAGCTAGCTTAATGTAAGCCTGAGGTCAGGGCCGGGTGTCATATTACCACAACACCCACAAACTCACACTAGTGGGAGAATTTCTGGTCGCATATATTAATATTAGACCATGGGAATTGCCAGAACATAAAACTGAGTGCCAACGTAAAAAAGCTTTTCAGGCATCTTCGAACCGTCTGCCCTGAGATTTATGTCACCTCTGAATAGGAAAGTAAGTCGAATATTTTAGGGATTAAGAGCTAAGTAGACATATAAAACAACGTATTTTTCTTCCTCGCAGAATCAAACATAAATGAATTCGTGATTAGCTCAGAGTAAACTGACCGAGTTTTTCCCTTACTGACCCTTCACCTTCAACTTCCATTCTGTCAATTGTGACTCGCTGTTCTCGAATAACTGTCATCTCTTCTCCAATTTTCTTCATGCGATTTAGTGAAAAAGGCGCCTCAATCCGCATCAACTAACCAGCGTCTGAGTGGATTATCGCGACGTCATTGACCAAGATGAAGAGATACGTCCAGGTTTGACCGTTCATTAAAATTCATTTATGCATCACAACGTGTCCTAATTAAATATATCTATACCGAAATAAACATATTTGTATAGCTTTCATGTTCGACCAAGTCAGTAAAATCCCAGTCAGACATGACGTTGTATGAAGTACGCACGAAAAAACATACGTAGTAAATCTTGAACAAATATGATGAATCACAACAACATGATAAATTAGTATTAAAGCTTTATGCGATTCACCAGAGACAGGTAACTTTACATTTTAAGTGACAATCTCCCAACCATTTTCTTGAAATAGCTAATCCATGACCGCAAGATCTTAATGGAAATCAACGGGAAGGCACAAAGAGAATATATCTTCCCTGCAATCTTTAAAATATCTTTGAATTGTCAAGCTGACAACGTACTACAAGTAGCATTAAATTGCCATACTGTTTTTCGACCACTTTTCTCTATAAGTTTTTATTTCACTCTTCCTGTGATGAAAAAAAAGAACCAAGTATTTTTGTTTTGAAAGTTATCCATTCTGCCTTTTGTTGCAAACATGTCTATCCAAATTATTTCGTTACACCCACCGACGCAGCCCCAAACAGTTTCTTTCGAAACTATCAGCCTTTATCCTTAAACAGGCTTTTTTTCAAACAAATCTATTATTCATAGTAATGTTGGTTTGGTAAGTACATTTTACCTTTTTATTCATTAATTACTTTTTACATATTGGTAATTTGAAACATTCTTGACGAATTTTGCAATTTTTTTTCATAATTTACCATCGGGTGAAATTTTTATACCCGTCACCGTGAAAATTCTTGAAACACTACTCTTCCTTGACTACAGTGCTTTCTAATCATTTTGAATTCTATACAGTCTATATCATTTTCGTTGTTGTTGATTATACTGAATCAAATTAAATATGATTAGCACGACAAGAGCACTTACCTCTTGCATCGCACAAGCAACAGAAAAGACAAGAAAGAAGTGACTTGGAATAACATTTGACGATAAACGCTTACGACAAAACGTTGCTTGATAACATTGTAAGATTTAAAAACGATAAAAAGCTATAGAAAGCTAAAATCGACGACGTTTCGACGTTTACATAACGTCATTATCAAGTCAAGAATGTATAAAAATAANCTATCTGAGAAAGTGTCAAAGCAAATTTGATTGTTTAGCGTTTGAAATGCTTTATATTAAGAAATTCAAACCTAATCTGAACGTGCAAACGTACTCCGTACATGCTAAACTTTTTGTTTAATCCGCAAATTATTTTTTCTTATCGTTCGTTTTTAGTATTTATAGAACTTATTTTTATACATTCTCGACTTGATAATGACGTTATGATAACTTCGAAACGTCGTGGATTTTAGCTTTCTATAGCTTTTTATCGTTTTAAATCTTACAATGTTATCAAGCAGCGTTTTGTCGCAAGCTTTTATCGTCAAAAGACAAGAAAGTATGGAATAAAATTTTCATAACCAAGCAGAGAAAAAAAAACCTCAAATAGCACCAACAGTCTTGAAGGAAAAAGATGAATTCAATGTATATGTCACTTAGAACCTAATCATCAGAGAAATGTAACGAGTTCGATAGTGGCCTTGTTCTATTTTTTGTCAGGAGCCCATGATGGGCTCCTGTTTTTGTGTATTAATTCATGAACCTTAACTTCGTTTCGGTCCCTAAAAACATCTTAAAACACGGTTATTTTTTAACTACCTTGACTTTACGTTTGATCCAAAACATATCTAACTTGTCCAGCTGATTGTATGATCTACTTTTCTCTGGTCATTACAAACACTGGCGTCCAAATGAACAGTGGGTTAGCCAAGCCAGTACCAGGTCCCTCAGGGGGCAAGTTGTTGGCGTGTCCTTCATCTCTCTAAGAGCAAAGATGATTTATTTTACCCCAAAGCATAAGGGAGATTGATACACGCTTTAGCCACGAGAAGTTCTTTGCAAAAATATTTTAAGTGAGACAAATAAAGTTTGTTGGCACATTGACGAAACTTTTCCAGACACAATACGAAAGTGATTAAAAGTGAATTTACCTTCAATGAAACAAAACTAGTTAATTGCACAATTTATAATTGATCAACCCTGGAAAATAGAAGACGCGTGTATTTTGCAAAATATATGCCTCTTGACGTCATGGCAGTTGCTAAGGAACCAAAGCCAGGGAATTCTGAGATAAAGAGGGTAGTCATCCGCGTTTATTTTGCAGCCTACCAAGGTCATAGCGGTTACGTTGCTAAGGAACTCGAGTCCAGGGAATACTGAGGGGGGTGGGGATGGTCATTTCTCAGAAATATAAACTAATAATTTTTAATCTGAAAACAAGAATAACGTACATAACTGTTTTAATTCATTCGTCAAGTGAGCCATGTTCAGTTGTGTTCTTCTTCTTTACTTGAGACATATTATTTCCATTGCTGTACGCAAAAACTTAACGAATTTCTAGCCAACATAAACACTTCTCCTTCCAAGAAGAGTAAATAAGATTAATTTACCAGACAAAACAATTTCCTTTGTCGAACAATTTAACAAGGACTGTAAAGAGGAGAACCAGCTGTCTAAACTAACAATAGAGAGCAAAAAGATAGGGCATCCTTACTATGAATAGAATAACACATCGAAATAGGGTCAAACACCGATGATATGCACTCACAGACACGTACACAGAGGAACTATTTTAATTTATCTTTATTTATTTATCTTTTTTTGGAGGTGTTGCTCCTCTACAAGCGATATTAAGGTCCATCCTGGATAGAAATGGTTCTTTATGAATAAATCACGCTTTAGTGTCAGGGAACTTTTCTAAACCTAAGCATTTCATGCGTTTTCAGTTGTCTTATCTGCCCCATTATCGCTAAAAAAATAAAAATGATTTTTGAATATAAGCCAGGCTAATTTGTAATATTTTCGATTGAATACGATGTCTTACTGCGATTACCAGTGTATGCGATTGGTAGAATAAACGGAAAAAAGACTTAAAATTATCAAGGTCAAAATATGAAGTATGCAAATTCTTGTCAAAGAATCCGACCAATTGTATGCGGTTTAAGAGTTAAGGCTTAATCTTGAGAAAATCTGAATTTTTAAATGGTCTCAAAGATGAAACGATTAATGATGCTTTGCATCAGTGGTTGAGAATGTCCCATTGGTCGTTTTTAAATATGGAATTGCTTCATCAGGTTTGTCGTGGTACAAGATTCCTTGAAGTTTATATCGGTTAAATAATTTCATATTATTTTCACATACTGGTGTGAACTTAAAGGTTGGTCGGTTTCAATCTAATTCATGTTGAAAAGGTAAGTAATTGTTACAAAAAGTCTTTCGTTTGGTACATTGTGAAATTTCTTAAAGGCTCTCCCAAAACAATTGAATACATTACTCCTTCTCGCTTGCAATTTTTTTTTTACCAACATGGTTTAAGCTGCAACTCTGTCGTGGGAAGACCAGGCAAGCAAACTTTTAACTAGATTGGCACTCAAGGAAGTCTATTGATTCCACACCACGCAGTTTACTTCAAGAAATCCCCTGTTGGGTTAAAGATTAATGAAAACTTTCTGTTTAAAACAGCACACAGCATGAAACATAATTTGTCTTAATGCCCGAGATTTCTAGAAGAACGCACAAATCATATATTACTAGAAAAACCAAATATTTAAATCTGCACTGAATCCATATAAAAGCTACCGTTATGAGATAAGCAGTAAATTTGTAATTCAAATATTTTTCTTTCAAATATGTGTATAACTATTATTCAGCCTACATGAGGATATTCACATTTACTAGTTTCCATTTGAATTTTTCAACATCGGCGTAAGATCAATACTTTATGATATTTAAGTAAGCTTCGTTTCGATAGAAAAGATTTCAAACGTGAGTTATGTACAGGAAATGCAGTTTGTTTAGGTCATAGCAAATTTGGAAAATTTTCTTGTTACATATCAATAGGACAAAAACGCCAATCTACCTCAAAAATTAAACCATTTTCAATGCTAAAACCGTCTTTTAAGACTTCAATTTTTTTTAGGGACTAAAACAAATTTTTTAAGGATACAAAAGCCTGAGAGATTGACACAAATTATCATCGGTTTAAATCATACAGAAATACAATCAGAGCGAGATAGGACAAATTAAAGGGAAATGTCATATTAAGAGCCTATACATTCGATGGATATTGGCTAATTTTTTCCGTTTCTTGATTGAAGTCTTCGTGGCTTTCAAATTGAAAGATATTACAATCCGTGACTGACTTCAAAGCTTAATTAAATGTCAGTTTTTGTTAGAGGCAAGTTTCATCTGAATCTGAAACAAAGGCTTTGAGTTCCATCCTGGCGCACTCTACTAAATAAATCAGGTAAACAACAAATATCCAGGAATAGTTCATCTGCCTTAAATTTTCGATTTTTTTTCTTTATTCTTTTTTTCTTCTTCGTTTTCGTTGTATAATTTACCACACGGACATTTTATAGATTACGTAATCCACTGTTTGTATTTCATTTCCCTTCCTATACCTCTGACAAGTTTCTCCGCCTTATACCAAATATAGATTATTTGTTCTTTGTTTTGTTACCTTGCTTGTTTAGAGCTGTAAACTTATTGAATTCTTTCTAAACCATGATAAAAATTGACTTAGAGACATTGACTTTCCTGTCGAAATAGTTTGATTTATCATTTGCGATTTTTTTATGAAATAAGCATTTCAGCGGAAGGTTTTGATTTTTTCGATTTCTGATCGCCATCACGCAAATAAAAAATCAACATACATAACATTCTCTTTATGTCATTGCATACTCTTTCTTTACGAATGTTTAAATGACAAATTTTGAAGGATGTTTTAATTTGAGCTTGATCCATCCAAAACAATGAATGCCTGTGAACGCGCTGAGAAGAAATTAGTTTAGTTTAATCTAAACACAATTAGTTTTTATCACGAAGCTGGAGTTTGTATTACATAAGTTATTAGTTCTGCTTAAACTGTATGGCACTGACTCGGCATTCTTGAGAAGAGTAAAGACTTGCATTGCCTTACACTAGATTATAATCACTTTCATTCGTGACACTTGTATTCATTTCTTTAAAATGTTTCTGGTGCCTTCCCAAATTGTATCGCACTACAGAGGGATTCAGATTCGAAAACAGAATCAGTTTATGTTAAATGCACTGCATAGCTCAATCTGTGAATTTCAAAAGTTTTGCTGAACAGATAGTTACAAGAACATGTTTAATTTTCTTATGCTTATTAACAAATTTAGCTGCTTGTTAAGGCCAAGGAGAATTTTTCAACTTCTAATTACAATAAAATAATATTTTTTTCTCAAGGTTTAAATGGTATGGGAATAAATTAATCTACGACTCTCCTGCCTTCGGACGAACAACACAGTTTTCTTTACAAAGAAATGTTTCCTTTCAGAGACCCTTGCGACAAAAGAGATTTTATGTTGAGAAAAATTTTAAATCGCATCTCGTTTTACCGTTTTGGCTTGAACTAATTTGGTTTGAAGTAAAAGCTAGAACTATTTTTTTACCAACTTATTGAAAAGCTGCTAATACCATGACGTAATCAATTAAAAAAATACACTTATTTAGACAGGCAACAACTGGAAAACGGCACTTCAAAACATTTTTTTCTGAACTGAATTCGTACTGAATTCGGATACTTTTCAAAAAGGCAAGTATCCTTGCTTCTCTAATTAACAAGATTTAGAATGTTTCTTATTTTTCCTTTAATTACCGTAGATCTACTGCTATCTAATTAGGAGTTTTCTTCGCATTTCGATGAAAACGTTTTTTCCACGGCTCTAACAATAACCAGGAGTAATTACACTAAACGATTTCCAGCACTTTCCTGAATGAGTGATTACTCTCAGTAGCTACGGCCAACTATTTCTTTTGGATTTCCCTTTCTGATCGAGTTCATTTTTTCGCGATTCAACTGTGTGTGTTTACAAATTCGAAAATTTGATGAATCCTTTTTTATGTTAAAACTTCAATTTTGGAAAAATTCCAAGAACAATCATGACAATTTTTATGAAATATCTCTACTGAGAAGATCTTAGGATCGACGAGAAGAAAAGCTTTCTGAGAGGGATCAAAGCTGCTAAGTTTTGGAATAGTAGCCGTTGGAATTCTCTGTCAATGAACTTCAAGGTAATTGAGACCAGCCAAGCCACAAGCCAGGTTTTCTATATGATAATTGATGCCAGCTGAAAGCTCCTAAATGCAGTTGCATGTATTTGGTACGAGAATTTCATGCATTTACTCTATCTAGATCATGCAGTTATTCCGTTAAAAACATTCTTTAAACTGAATGCTGGAAATTCTTTCTCTTTGGTATTTATGTTGGTGGAAATACTTATGCATGAGACGTAGAGGCCAACTCATTTTAGTAAACACCATGTACTTCAAAATAAATTTAACATTTCTTGATATCTTCCATTCATGTAATCATGTTGTTGCCGGTTGTTGTCGATTGTCACAGACCTAATTACTTGTCTAATCATTTCATTTGAATTTACTTCTTAAGTCTCAACTGTCGCCAGGACACCAGTTTTAAGTGAAAAAAAATAAATAAAATTTCCTGCCAAATATATTCAACGAAAGATAAAAGAATTGACAAATTAGCATATTCAATTTCTGGTCTCTCCACCATAAACTGAATCGGAAACAATATAGTTAAACGCAGATATTGCCAATTCAAGCGCCGGTCGCTGAAAGGGAGGGGGTGGAAAGGACAGCAGAAGAGAGCCTCAACTACACAACCTGGTTGATGAAAGACCTGTTTGAGTCCCGTGTTTATCCCATAGATTTCTAGAGTTCATTTCTGACTCTCTGTTCAGTTGATCCGCCCTCTTTGCAGCTCATAACAGGACAATTACCTGGCCATATTTAGAATATCCAATATTGTCGCTCAAGTCGCATGAAGCAGGAAAAATGGAGACAGAAATAAAGGAGACGGTTGTAGAGTAAGTAAATTAAATTATGATCGAGACAAGCTTGAAAAAAGAAAAGCAAGTAAAAAGGAAACGAAACGAACAAGGAAATAAGAAGGAATACAGCCTGACCAGAGAAGGAAACTATTGGGCAAAGCACCATACGTATTCCTTATTTCACCCTTTCACTCCTTAGTCATTCTGCTTGCTGTCTGCCTTATAATTCTTATGGTATTTGTTTGGAGAATTTGTTATTGGATCAAGCAACATTTCCCCCGATTCATATTTTTCTTTATTCTCGTCACTTTTCTGTTTATATTGTGTCGATGTTTTGAGGAGAAATTCTGTGCTGGTCACTCATGGCAGTTAAAGTATTAACGCTGAAGAGACCGTAAAATGTTAGATGTTTTAATTCCTTCTTACTACGTTTTTAAGAGCGCCAGTGTCCTAATTTATCAATGATGTAAGCGGTAAAGCGAGCGCCTCGTTCCCAGAGATCAAGGGGCTTCAAATTATTACTGTTTCCTCACGATTATCTTTCTCCCGCTGATTTGTAGTGGTGTCGTGCAAAAGACTAAACTAGAGAAATAGAGACTGTTCGTAGTCTCCAAGTTTGTGTGGTTGCTCTGCTGTACTCCTTGCTGAAGAAAACAGCGCGGTCACTCATTTGCTTTATTGTACTATTTTCAGGTGCGGTACTCAAGTGGATATACGAGATTTCGAAATCCGGTAACAACTTTTCAATGCTATGAATCTTTGTCAGGTCATGCAGAACAAACTTTCCTGTTAATGTATTACGTTTGAATAGTTTAAAAAATTAATTCACTCATTTTTTTTCCTTCACCCTTTTCAAGGGGTGAAGGAGGGTCAAGTTATTTACACGAGGTCTAAGCCAAACAAACCGTGGTTTTACGCAAGCAGTGGGCCTCAGAGGTTCTCTTAAAGAGAGTTGATTTGATTAAATAAATGTCCTTCCACTGTTAGCTGGCGGCCCTCTTGACACTGTTTACAAAAATAAATAAAAGCAAAAGGTTTGGCTAAATCATTGAAGACGGCTTAGAACGCAGTTTTGTTAAACAACGGCTAAACTTTGCTTAAATAACCAACCCAGAGTACGTATTTGTCCTCCGTTTCTTTATTACGAGTTCATGATACATTGATACTTGTTTTTGTTGTTGTTTGTTATTCCACGCAGGACGTGTTCAAGCGTGGCAATACAAGTTGAACCGAACGACTTTCAAGCTGTCAAAGAAATAACAAAGCACAGGTAAGAAGTCTTTTATGGCTACGGAAATTGCACGTGATCATTTCCTCTGTTTGTAATGTTGTCGAGAAGCTGTTGTAACAAATGTTCGGATAAAGTCAAACACGATTCGACGGACGCTTGAGTAAAAAAAGATACAAAAGGCAACGAAAACAATTGTGCCGGCTATCCCGTCTCGTGTAGTGAAAAAGTGCGCTTGGTTAGCTCGTGTTGTACATGTGGAGTGCCGGAGAGGTGTTGTACATGCGAGAGGACGAGCCCCAGACCGGACCAACACTCAGGGTCTTAAGATGTTAAAGAATCCACGCATTACGGGAAAGAGTAGATAATATAACGCCGAGTGTTGCGGTCTTGCTTAGTTTTAATAGTTTTATATTTGCTGCACATGTATTAATACCAGCGGTTCCTTATGGAATTGCTGACACATTTTTTTGCAGGGTAAATAAAGTTTATTAATTAATCAATTGTTATTGTTTATACATTTCAAAGATCTCCATAAGTATTTTTTTATTTAGAAAGAGGTGGGGCAATAAAGGAAGGAGATGAAAGGTTACGCCAATCGCCCATATCGATCAAATTGCATTGGACTTTCTTAATGCAATAACTTCCACATGTACTTATACTTTTTAAATCTTAATTCCTAATAGCACTAAAACCAGAAAAATGTTTCGACAATCCTAGGAGTCCTTAAATTTTCCTGTGTTTTAGTGTCTCCACATTAAAGTGCTTTTCCTTTGTGTATGTGTATATATATATATATATATATAACTAACTGCAGACAGTACTGTTTCGGCCTTCTGGGCCTCATCAGTGCAGTGCTAATGCTAGGATGGGGGAGAACCGAGACGGTCACCCCAAACGACCCAACCTTTGTGGTATCGTCTAAGCCATGCCAGAGTGCTCAAACTAGAGTAAACCAGCGAGCATGCGCAATTGCAACGGCAATGACTCATCCTAGATAGAGTGCTCAATTTGGACATGAAAGCAAAGCTTTGTATGCCAAAGAGCTATATCTAACTGCAGACAGTACTGTTTCGGCCTTCTGGGCCTCATCAGTGCAGTGCTAATGCTAGGATGGGGGAGAACCGAGACGGTCACCCCAAACGACCCAACCTTTGTGGTATCGTCTAAGCCATGCCAGAGTGCTCAAACTAGAGTAAACCAGCGAGCATGCGCAATTGCAACGGCAATGACTCATCCTAGATAGAGTGCTCAATTTGGACATGAAAGCTATATATATAT